GGACGGCTTTTTCTTTGTGGACACAAATCCGAAGACGCTGGTTGGGCTGCGGATGTCTACGGCAAGTAAGCACCGCACCACAACCAGCACTGTGAGGCGGTTCACTGAGTGCCTGGCGGCATATTTTGAGGGTTGGGAGGAGTTATCCCGAGACATGTCGTGGGATATTATTTATGTGCAGCACGAGATATACAGGCCGATGGAGGGACGGCAGAAATTTGAGGTCGTCAATTCCGACAATTTGGGCGACGATGAAAACCGAGAGATTGCGGCGTTCTGTAGGGAAAAGGTGCGCCAGTACCTAGCAGCACTATCATCCGCTGACGCCAGAAGAGGCGAAGCTCTCCGGAGGTGAGGAAGAACGAAATAGGAGAACGAATTAGGGAATGAAAGGGGTAGTTTTGATTTCTGGTAAAAAAAAATATTGTGGGATTTATTTTTGGATACTTGTGTGGCTACGGTGCGGGTGCACCCGCACCAGACGGCAGTATACCACACAGATTCCAAAAATGCCCAGCTCTATCGAACATAAAAGTGACCGAAGAAATTAGGGAGGGAGTGGGGTTGTTTGTTTTCTGGTAAGGAACATTGGATGATTTTCACACAGCATGTTAATTGTGTGTGCATAAGAGGCATAATCGTGGAATTGCCCCGGTATGAGAAAACCATTGTAGCTGGCGGTGCTATGGTGTTGCTGCATTTTCCATTTTATTCTATCGTGTTCCAAGACCCACCAATAACAGAAGCATATTTAAGGGATGAACAAAGAATAAGTTGTATTGATGAAATGGTGCACCCCGTGTAACCGTACGGAGTGGGGCACCGCGTAATGGATGGATAGGGATCCGTTTCCACGTGTAACTGGAGTGGGTGATTGTTCGCTCGCTGTGCGTTGTGTGTTGGCTGCGGGGCTGTGGCCGTATCCCGTTGGCCGCGAGACTGAACTGGAGGCGGCGGCGGTGTGTCTCTTTTCCTCGCCCATTGTGGGTGAATGCGGGAGGTGCGCGCGTTTTTTGTGTGGAGGACCGAATCCTCCCACGCGCGGTCTGGCAGCACTGCGATTTGTGTGTGTGTGAGGGCTGGTGTGGGCGATGGTGCTCCGCGCTGTTCCTTCCGGATTCTCTTGTGTCCCGCTCTCCGCATGGGTGCTCTGCTCTGCTCCCCACGGACGTGTCTGATGTATTGCCGCTTTTTTCTTTTTCCACATGTTGAACACAGACACACGCTAGGAAGGAAAGCAAACAAACGCGAAACGCTACTGTGAGATTCGAAGGCACTGAAAGCACCAACAGCACACACACCGCCCACCCACACCTACTTACATGATCTCACGTGTTGCTGCAGTCATGGCACCCAACAAACACAACCGTCGCCGCATGACCGGATCCAGCGGAAGGAGGAGGGAAGGAGGAGAGAGTGAGCCGCAGAGACCTAACATGTCCCGGCATGTGTTTACTTCCGCGGTGCTGCTCCTCGTCGTGATGATGTGCTGCGGCACCTGTGGAGCCGCGGCCGCTGGAGGGAATAATGGGAAGAGTGATTTAATAAATATTCATAAGCTGCAGGGAGTCGATCTATTTGTGCCGCAGACGATGCTGGTGCGGCCGAAAGGGGGGACTTCTCCAGAAATGAAGTTGGATTCCTTTGTTACACCCTCTCTCGTCAGTGCTGGTGGAGTAATTGCGGCTTTTGCCGAAGGTCACACAAACGTCCGAAAAGACAATGACCAATCAATCAGGCACTTTTACTCTGATGTTGTTGCGGGGTACATTGACTCTGCGTGGAACTGGACCACTCTTGTTGACAAGGTCAATCAGAGCTCATGGAGGGCACACACCGTGCTTACTGCAGCGAATGGAAAGAAACGTTTGGATGATATGCTTAACCCCACAACAATTGCGAAGGGCAATAAGGTGTTTCTTCTTGTGGAAAGCCCTGGTTTGTCCCCTGTCAACGATAATTCGTTTTTGGATAGATTGGACCTGACACTGGTTGTGGGCACTGTCACGAATTCTACGGGCGGCGAGCCGAGTAAACGGATTGAATGGGGTGCGCCCAAATTGCTTTTAAGCATGAACATTTCCGCTGCTTCTGACGAAAGTGAATTGAGGAGTGTTTTTCCATCTGGTGGCTCAGGTGTTCTGATGGACAATGGCACGCTCGTGTTTCCCGTGGTTACGTTTGGTGATGATGACGGTTTCTCCATGATCATTTATTCGACGGACGACGGCGCAAACTGGGTGTTTTCAAATGGGACGTCACCTGCGAAATGCGAAACCCCCCGCGTCACCGAATGGAAGGGATCACTTCTCATGATTGTTGTTTGCGAGAGTGGCCAGAGGGTGTACGAGTCGCGTGACATGGGGACAACGTGGACGGAGGCCGTCGGGACGCTCCCAGGCGTGTGGACCAAGAAAAAATCGACAGCCATTGTGGATCGGAGCTTTCATGTGGAAGCCCTCATCACCGCGACCATTGGGGGCAGGAAGGTCATGCTGTACACTCAGCGAGGGAACGCCTCGGAGAATGAAACGGAAAGAGCGCTCTACCTTTGGGTCACGGACAACATCCGCTCGTTTTGTGTTGGGCCGGTTGCCATGAGGGATGGTATGAATTGGTTGTTCACCAGCAACCTGCTGTACTCGGATGGCAATTTGCATCTTTTACAACAGAGGGAAAAAGATGAAGGCAGTGCCTTGTCGCTTTCTCGCCTGACGGAGGAACTGAGCACAATCAAGTCCGTCCTCAGTACTTGGGCGCAAAAGGACGCCTTCTTCTCCCATTGACCATACCCACGGCGGGCCTGGTGGCAGTTTTGTCCAACGCATTGTCCGGTGGTGACACGTGGAGCGACGAGTACCTTTGCCTGAATGCGACGGTGACGCCTAATGCAAGGAAGGTCAGATATGGATTTCAACTGACGGAGCCTAGCTCCAGGGTGTCATGGTCCGTGAACACTCGGGCTAATAATGTGCGTCATGTATCCTTGAGCCACAACTTCACACTTGTGGCTTCGCTGACCATCGAAGAGACTCCGAGTGGGAGCTCTCCTCTACTGACTGCGACGTTGGCGGACGCCAATTCCAATCATACCATGGGACTGTCGTATACGGCGGATAAGACGTGGGGGACGTGGCTCAAAGGCAAGAAAACAACACAGAGCGGCCGTTGGGAGCCGAAGAAGGGATACCAAGTGGCACTCATGCTGCAAGGCAAAAAGGCCTCTGTGTACATTGATGGTACGTTTCTGAGGCAGGAAGAGGTGCCGTTAACGGGTGAGGCGCCACTTGAGCTTGTACGCTTTTGCTTTGGCGCGTGCGGTGAGGATGCCGGCCAGAAAACTAAGGTGACGGTGAAGAACGTCTTTCTGTACAACCGCCCACTGAATTCCACCGAGATAAATGCACTCAAGGACAAGGCCCACACTTTGAATGGCCCGGGGGGAGCACTGGCGGGGTGGGCAGCTCTGGAGGGAGCTGCCGCCAGAGAACATGCGGCTGTGGTGGGCTTGACATCTGCTGGGAGCGGACTGCTGCCGCTGCTGCTTCTTCTGTTGGGACTGTGGGGCTTTGCGGCTGCGTGAGGAGTGTGCGCCCTCAGTGCGGAACACTTGCGCTCTCCTCTGCAGCGACACACACACACCGCTAGGAATACATTTTGCTCCGTGGAGAATAATTTCTTTTTTTTTTTTAAATTTACTTCCCTTCTTTTGCTTGATGATTTAGGACAACCACCATGGACTTTTTTTTACTATTCCCTCTTTTAATTTCTTCTTGCTGCACTCTTCCTGTGAGGGGTGCCGTGTGTTTCCCGCCCAACTGCTCCACTCGCACACCCACCGACACGCTCATGACGACGGCCCTGTGCGCCTCGCCTGCTGCACGCATGAGGAGGGGCCGCGACGAACGGCGCGCTGAGGGAGCCGTGACGTGTGGGCGTGCGACGAGGGCCTGTGGGGCGGAGCACACATTTCTTCCCCTAATGTT